CTCAGGCAAGGTGGAGTGATGATTTGCGCAAGATGGCTGGCAGGAGCTGGATGCGAGTGGCCGAAGATCGATCCCAGTGGCGTGCAATAGGAGAGGCCTATGTCCAGCAGTGGACTGAAAAGGGCTGATGATGATGATGATGATGATGAGATTTTTAACGTCAATTCATGGGGAGGCAGTCCAGAAGGGTTCAACGAATTTAAAAATTCCTGTGGATAATGGACTGCATCTTCAATATTCGTTACAGTGTCGATCGATTTGTATGTTTTTGTTTGGCCGGGGACTTTTTGAACAATCAGATTGTTTATTAAATTGACAGTATCATTCTTAGGTGATACTATAGCCCGAGAACACAGCCAATGGAAGTCTCTTTCGTGCAAATTCTCGATATCAGGGTATACAGAATCTATTAAATTTTCCAAATTATGGAGTATTTGGCCTAGAGACTCATCCAGAAGAATGTCACAATGACCGCTTAAATTTGGAGTTGGAAAAATTCCTTCCCCAAGTTTTAGCAGTTGCTGTGGGAAATCGCTATCAGTGATTCCATGAAGATGAGCTCTCATATTTGTCCTTAATTTTAATGTTTCAATCGTAGTCCATAAGGGAGGGAGACGGTTTCAAGCATGCCTTGATGATATCTGCTCGCGTGTCTCTGTTAATAACGGGGAGAGTCTGTCGAAAATCTCCAGCAAATACAAAAGTAATCCCGCCCATGACTGCAGAGGAGTTCCTTAGATCCTGTAAGGTTCTGTTCACGGCCTCTATATGTGCTCTATGGCTCATCGTGCATTCGTCCCATATAATCAATGACGCGTCTTGTAGTAATTTACCAATAGGTCCATTTTTGCGGATGGAACATGTAGATTGTTGTTAAAGATTGACGGATAGTGGAAGTTTTGCCATCCTTCAAGAGAGTTGCAGCAATTCCTGAGGAAGCAACTGCTATTGCTATCTTCCATGATTGTCTTATCTTAGCAAGTATCAAATTTGCAAGAAACGTCTTTCCTGTTCCACCAGGTGCATCCAAAAAGAAAACTTTTCTTTTGTCATGAATGACGCTATCGACTATAGTTTCAAAAGCATGTCTTTGATCTGGGACAAACTTTGGCAGGTTTTCATTGACAAAAGCGGTCAAATTATTTGTATCATAGTTTCTGCTGCATTGCTTTCTGTACGAACTGATGATGGTAATCCGAAATCACTTAGGCTTTTGTCATTTAATTGCAACAGTTTATTTTCTATTTGTATCAAACCTTCGTTATAAATGTCCTCATTGTATGGTAAGTTGATGTCTTGATTTTGCTGTCTGATTCTGTGTCTAATATCTTCACATAAATCGTCTTTGAAAATACGATTCTCAGTTTCTGATGAAGATTCTTGATTTCGTCGTATTTTTTCAAGTTTATTTCGTGATCTTAACCCCCCTCCCGTACCCCTGCCCGAGTGACGCCTACAACGCATAGCTAGCCGAATACAGTTTATTTTCTATTTTTTTTAACTCGTGATATCTTTTGAATGGATTGTCAGAATCGAATAATTCAAAAAGTAATATAAAGATATTGAAGCAGTCTTAAATAATACATCGTTTATTTTGATAAGGGTTAATACCACGGTACAAATAAAGAGCTTTTTGTAGCGGTGGTATTTTAATTTCTTTTTTTCAATAATAAAACGCTTATTGTGACATGACTGTATTAGTTAGAGATATGCTGCCGCTGATTTTTTATAGATAATGGTGTGTTCTAAAAAAATGTAGTATATCACTTTGTTCTATCATCAATAGTTTTCGCAGCGCACGCGATGTAAGGTAGTTTTTTGATATTTTTTTCACACCTTGGATTACGTTATCGTAATTTTAGTAAGGATGCCTACTTTTTTTGAAAATGAAATATAGCCTATGTCACTCAGGAATGATGTAACTTTCCAACAGTGAAAGAATTTTTCAAATCTGCCAAGTAGTTTCGGAGCCTATTCAATTCATACAAACAAACAAACAAACAAAAAATCAAACCTTTCCTCTTTATAATATTTGTATAGAAAAATAAGTACAATAAAATAGTCACGATCTTATATAACCCTGGATAAAAGTGGTAAAAGCCTGGCAACGCACACAACTACTCAGATGTGAATGTGTATGGGCGGCGCCGATTGCTTACCGTCAGGTAACAATTGGCTTGCTCGTTCGTTTTCGCCATATCTTGCGAAAAGGGAAAATCTTTGTAGAAAATTTTCATATTTTTAAGTATTTTTTGTAAAAAAATAATTAATTTTGTAATTATTTAATTTTAGGAATTTTTTGACCAACACTGTTATTTCTACAACATTTTGTTTACCTAAGTCAATTTATAATAAAAATCAAATTTTAAATTAAAAGAACAAATAGGTACCTATTAAAATATAATTTTTTGTTTTAAAATTCCAGTCTCGCATTGGAATCTCGTAATGACCTAGTAATTACGTCTAAAGAGGTTACTTAAAAAAATAAATAAATTTCTAAACAAAACAATACGTGACTGAACTTGGTAATTGAGGATTGGGATTTTTATTTTTCATCGTAAATTGTTATTGTTGTGTTATAAGTAAAATAGGGCAAAGAAAATAATTTTAAGATGCAAAAGCTTGTTGAGATTCTTAGGTAAATACATATTATATCTCTGTTTCTGATTTTAAATTTTCTGTGTGTGTTTTGTGGATACACAATAAATTAAATAAACAATAAGTTAGATAAAACATAAATTAGATACTAAAAAAGACCATCCAACAACACTGAATTTTTTTGCAAAAAATGAGTGTTTTTTTATGGTATAAGTCGGCAAACGAGCATACGGATTACTTGATGGTAAGCAATCGGCTCCGGCAATAGACACCAGCAGCACCAAAGGAGTTATGAGTGCGTTGCCGGCCTTTTGGGGATAGGGGTTGCGGTTGCGGATATAAGGATTGGAAAGGGATAGGGGAAGGGGAGTGATTGGGCCTCGGGTAACCTCACTCATACGGCGAAACGCAACGCTGTGGGTTGTTTTACGCCGGTATTCTGTGAGGCCGTGGTATCACTCCTGTCGAGCCGACCCATTCGTGCCGAAGCTTGGCTCTCCCACACTTAAAACTAGTAAATCAAAATTAAAGTAAAGATTCTCCCACAAACAGAACAATAGCTAAATAACTTTTGCTTACTTACAGCAATTCGAACTTACCAGACCACGACCGCTATCCCAAAACAAAGGCCGCAACACATCGAAACTATCACAAAATGCCGAAACTCACTGCAGCTAATGTTCCCAAGGGCGTGGCTCACAGTCGTACGTTAGCACTCTGGGTCATCTCTGCTAATTTACTGCCTACCCCGGGCTACCCGTAATACTCTCATACGGGATTATGGCTCATCCACCGCCTATTATAACGGACCAAATTGATTTACAATAGCACGGGTTAAGATTTACTAGGCTTAAGTGTTAAGCTGATCAAAGGTCAGTGATTTGGCTAATACGTATTGGACAATTGGTATTATGAGATTATGATCTGATCTGATGTGCCGGTGTTATACTGTTTGAGCGCAGGTTGAATTTTGTTTCGGATTATAGGTGGCTTGATTTTAGCGGAATCATTTAGTGGTTGTTATTCGTATGAGTTCACGTCATTTAAGCCTTTTTCCAGGCGACGAAAACTGTTGTAGGACAATCGACTGGCGATGGGCGTCATTATTTTAATTAAGAATTTACTATATCTACGTCATCGCTGAGCCGTTATCTACGTCATTTTTTATTGCCGAAGTATTTCTTGTTTTATTACATTTTATACATACGTAATTAATTAAGTACCTGATGAAAAAAAATATTAGGACAAAAAACGAGAGCTGTAAAAATATCTTGACATATTGGACACGTTAAAAACATCATGCTTTATACCGGTTATCCCATTCGCATTGTCGGTTATAAAAACTTTTTTCATTATGCCGCGTAGAGGGAGCTGATTGAAAATAAGTCTCGCGACCTTCTATTGTTTTATTGTAAATTGACGAGAGGTTGGGATTTTGTAACTATTTGGATGTCGTCTTTAAATCTCTTAATTCATATAAGGTTACTATTGTCACAAAATATATTTTAAATTTTTCGGAAACATTTATTGATACACTTGACAAAAACTATAAAATAAACACTTTATAAAAATTATCGTTACATAAAATCACAACATAATAAACCTCAAAATAAAATTGTTAATAAATGCTATACATACTGCTACTTCTTGAATTTAGTTACGAGGTAAATTCGTCGTTTCTTCCAAGGTTGAGGGCAGTTCTGTATTCTTCGTCTCAGGTAAAAATAGACACAAAAATCCACCTATAATAGCCAACAATCCAAATGTGCCTCCTGAAACTATTGGTGGTAAAGAATTGATCGGCGGCGCAACTATTTGACCCACTCTCGACATCACAGATAAAATTCCTAATACTGAATTTCTAATAGCAGTCGGGAACAACTCAACACCATACAGAAACACAATAATAAAGGACATAAAAAAGAAAGTGCAACCCATGCACGCAGTTAAAATTCTAGCCACGTTTGCGCTTTCTGGAATGAGTATGACTATTATCATAAATGTTCCTGATAGAAAATTTGTCACCATTAGGAAAGATCTTCGTCCAAATTTCTGTAGCAAGTATGTAGCAATGAGCGTGCCTGGTATAAGCAGTGCTCCCGACAAGGCTACATTTGCATGGATGTTTCCACTCATGTGACCTATGTATTGTGATACTCCATAGTATCCCATTCCACAAACAAAATATATAAAAGCCATGCAGAAAAAGTTTATGGTCATTCGTCTGTGGTAAAAGATATGCCAGAAGCTGATTTTTTCTAATTGCAGGTTTGCTTGTGCAGTAGCATATATTTCTAACTCACGTCTAATATTTTCAGTGGGAGTGTTATTGCTGGAAGAGGAAATATAATTCATTAGTTAGGATCAAGGACAGCGATGACCTCCGAAGAAAGTCCTAATACTCACAATTTGGCGATCTTCTCCAATATTTCCGATGCTTTATCCAATTTATTTTCATCAAGCAACCACTTTGGGGATTCCATTATCATACACCATAGAGCAAGACAAAGGAATACTGGTAGCGATATAGCCAATTGCAATATATCACTGTCTCTTATAAGGTATGAGACACCCGCTAGAGTCATGTGGCTAACGTTTATTGGAACATGGTACAGAGCAGTTACCATTTCTCTGTAACCGAGTCCACAATATTCGACCAAAAGGACATAGCTGGTAACAATAGCTCCTCCGATGCCTGCTCCTTCGATGCATCGCATGGCAATGAAGGTAGGAGCTGTGGACATGTAGGCAGCGAGGACTCCAGATACGGAGATGATCAGACAGGTCATCATGAACATAGAAAGGCGCCCGTATCTGCAATACGAAATCAGTAATCTATTACTTATTCTGTACTATTTATTCTACTCATAGAATGAAAAAAATATAATCTTCTAGGCGTTTAGATAAATATAATTTTTTATTTCATAAAAATAATAAACAAAAAATATCGTCACACCTTTCGGAATCCGAAGGGGCAGTTAGAGGTGCTAATGATAATACATTAGTACATAGCATCCAATTTTAACCAGTTACATAGCGAGTTCCATAAAAAAAGCCTGAAATAATAAACAAAACCACGCGGTCGATAAAACCCAATTAAGTTACATAATAAATAAAAATAATTGTTGAACATTTAAGATTAAAAGAAGCGTTGAACTTATTCTCCAGTCTAAATAAACCAATGCATATTGCCGGGGCTACGGGTCAAGTATAATAATGTACGGTCCCGGCCTGAAGTTGAAGAAGGAACATCTCACTGAATGTAAAAGTGAAAATCCTCCACCTCACCCAGGGCAGGGGCCATTCGATGATTTTCTCAAACATAAAAAGGCAATATAAAACACTCTAGATGCAAAAAAATCATATAAAGTGAAGATAAATTTAAACAATGTTTTTTCACTAAACCCCACACTAAATTTAATGGCAATAAAAATGCAAAATCGATTGCTATTAGTAAGAGCAATCGGTGATGCACTCTGTAAAATTTGTTGACCCTTACGTGATTGAAACATTTCGTTTGTGGTTTTGTTCATAAAGTTGTTTGAGCGTTGTCCTTTACTAAATTCTCAGTTATTTCAAGGATTTACGTTGCTTGACCAATTTTATCATAGTAGTAACAGTAACAAAAGCAGACCCAGTGATACCTATCAATTAACACGAACAATTTCGAACTGAGACCAGAATTTAATTTTTCGTCATTTTCAGTATAATGTAAACTCTCAGACTGGTGCTTAACTTAATTAATTGGAAACGTGTGCCAACGTTCATCAGTGCTTTAAAATTAATTTTGAATGACGACACTCATTCTCTGATAGGAATTTCGATGGTAATTGAAGTGCTAAAATTATCCGGTTATTAGCAAGAACTAATTACTACTGTAGATTGGTTCTATGGTGTAATTTAATTAAGTTACAATGAAATAAGGATGATTTTTATTTGATATTATTTCTATTGAAACGTCGGATCTTTGGCCTATATCGTTTGGTAAAAGAGGGTCAAATATAAAAGCATTATCCTTCATTAGGATTCTCTTCCGTGTCGCAAGTGCGTTTAAAAACAAACATACAAATCAAATACATACATCATTTATTTACGATTACAATAGACGGTGTATTAAAACTGCGAGAAATGAGTTGCTGAGTGTAAGAATGCTGAATAACACCGCCAATAGACAAGCAAAGTGCTTTATGGATATGGATATTTCAAATATTATAAGCACGCAGTGTTCTGTTTGAAAATTTCCTCTTCCTCTCAGGAGTGGAATCCCTTATAAGCATGTTAATTGTGTCTCCAAGTCCCAAGTGGATGGGTAGCTTATCGGCGTGCTCCATCATTGGCCACATGTTCTTTAACCATCAGGTGAGATAGTAACCCAACGTCAGCCTAGCAACAATAAAAAAATAAACAATAAAAATAAGGAATATTCAAAATTAAAAATTATAGCAAAAGAAAAAATAAAGAAAGAACAATGAATGTACTCGGGATTGGGTAAGATCGATGTAAGAAAAACAATGTTACCTAACATAGTTGCCTGCTTAAATAATATTAAAAAAAAAACTTAATTAAATTAACTTAATATTATGTTCGTTAATTTTTTCCGGATATGCTTGCAGCACATCAAAACATTTCTATGGCAGATTCAACCAAGAAGTGATTTTTTAAGTAGCAAACGAGATTATGGATTTCCTGATGGTAAGCAATCGCTGCCCATAGACTCCCGCAAAACCAGCTGCAAGTGTGTTGCCATTTGTTTTGGGGTTGAGGAGTTTTGGGGCTTTAAAGATAGGGGAGGGAAAGGATTGGGCCTCCGGTAACCTGACTCTCACGGCGAAACACAACACTGTGGTTGTTTCACAACCGTTATCTGCAGGGCCGTGGAATTACTCAGGTTAAGCCGGCCCAATTGTACTGAAGCTTAGCTCTCCTACACTTAAACCCGGTTTCCGAAAGGCCGATCAATGTTAAAATCAATTTAATCTCTTGTCAAGTCTTCTGATTGGTTGACTGAATTATCAACAACCAATCAGATGACTTGACAAGAGATTTAACAGGAGATTAGTTAATTTTAACGTTGTCAAGCCTTTCAGAAACCGGGTGTTAAACTTGTACTGCTAAGAAATATTAAAACATACATACTTGTCAGCTAGGATTCCAAATATCAATGCTCCAAACAGGGATCCGACATACAGCATACTTTGTATGAAACTCAACATCCATTGTGTATCACAATAGATTCCATATTTTATTTGAATGGTTTTAGTGAATACGCTTTTATCCCAATTAGGGTTGTCGCAAGGACATTTATTAGTACCATTTTCTCCTCCGCAGTCATAATTCATCGGTGGAGATATGAATATTAAACTGAGTATATGCCAGAAGATTGGTATTTTCGTTAAGAAGAGAAGAGTAAAGAAATAATAGTGATATTTAGTGGTTTTCTTAAAGAATCTTTCTACCGGATGTTTTGATTCATTCATTTTCTTTGTTTTCCTTGTGTTTTCGTTTCAATCTTGTTGGTCCGGTATTTTATTTCTTATTTCAAGTGTACTGTCTCAAAACAATTCTGGACAACGGCCTGCTTACATGTAAATATATTGCACATACGTTTTTCGTAAAATTATTTGCAGCACTTTAATATTCAGTGTTCAATACCAAATCTAAAAGAAAATATTATTATGACAATACTATCATGTAACAATTGGAATATTACTTTTTCATTTTCCTACTGTCATTTTGACATTATAGTTGTGTGTATTATTTTATGCCACTGTTAGTAGTATTCAAAACTCAAAAAGTTTTTATCCATTACCACATATTATTTATTGTAAGTAATGGTATTATTAAAATCCATACCTACCGAAAAAAACAGTAGGTAAGTATAATTGTTCTAAATAAATATCAATTTTATAAATTCATTTTTTATTATTCTTTAAAATAGTATATATTCTTTGATATTTATAAAACAAACATATTTGAAAATTAATAAGTAAACATTTTTAAAGATAATCAAAAATGACTTTCGGTATCATAATTTAACTAAAAATCCCGGGTTACTCACGTGTATTGAGAAAAGCTCTACTAGTTATAATAAAAACATTTCGGAAGCTTTCAAAAAATGCATTGGTTTTTTATTTACGACGCGAAAAATATTGCTGTAATCAGAGCTGATTCATATGATTTTTTTAAATGTATAAGAACCCAATTTTTTCGTTGGCAAACGTTTGATATGTTTTAATTGAACCAGTATGTAAGCGATTGCAATTTGAATGTGTTTTTTTTTTTGTTTAGTTCAGGGACTAAGCTATTGGCTGCAGCTGGGGTTCTAAAATGTGTCGTGGTTTAGATTCTCGCACGAAACAATACAGTAAGAGGTCCGGCGAGATGTGTATGTGAACTTAAATTTTCAAAAGTACCCACAAAACAGAATAAAATCAATACAGTCAATACAAACTCTGTAATTGTAATTATTGTCAGAGAAGTGATCCGTGATGGCGACCCCTCGCGCCCGGCCTTAGTCGAGGCCATGGTGCGTAGCGAGAAGAACTAGGAAGCTGTTTCGTCTTTCTGTCAAGCAGTTATGCTCGCAAAGAGGAGGCGGACCACGTGCGAGAGCTATGTATTCTTCTCCTCACGCCCCAGCTGCCGCAGAAGGCGACACTCCGGGAGTCGGGATCGAGAGATGATCTCAGGCTACCGTAAGCGTGGGTCTGCGAATGACCAGAATGAGACTCGAACGTACGGAGCATAGCGTAGCAAACCTCAAAGATCCTCATAATAGAATACCACAGACCGGGGTTTTTAGCAGGCAAGTGTCTGACACGTCTGACACTTGCCGGGCGGGAGAAGTAATTTAATGATTTTTCCCTCACAATAAAAATATACCAACTTTTCATACTTTAAAATATGTCAAAATTTTAGAGGTACCTAATAAATAACAAAGATGCGAAACTGAATCGCTCTAGACGTCTAATAATGTTTAGTTTAAATATTTTAATATTAGTCTCAAAGGAGGTAAATGTAAAGTTTTTTTATCAATGAGGTAAAAAAGCACTAAAAATTCTGTTTCATTTTAAGACGAAATACTAAACAAGATGTGTTTTTAAGTTTAATGCCTATCTTTTTAATATAAATATAATGTTAAGCCTATTGGATCCCAAGAGGGCTGATAGAAGTATTCATATTTTACAATGTAAAACCCACCGACTGACTAGGTAACTAGTTGTTGCGCAGATTACTGTACGAAGAAACTCCTTGCGTGACCAACAAATTACATTTTTTTTTTAAATTTGGAACTTCAAGTTCCAAATTCGAAAATCTTGTTATTTTTAAATATATATACGCTTGCACAGACGATAATCGTAAGGTAAATCCATGATATGTTATCATAAAAAAAATAGAGCAAGTAATAAGGTATTTTTGTTCCGGCAATTTGTTCAACAGTTCTAATAAACTACAATATTGTATGGTTGTAAATAATGAGCGTACATAAGTTGTGAATGTTTCCCGAAACAATGTAAGTGGCATAGATCGGATGTCTAGCAATTAAATTATGGAGGTAATTACTCGAGTCAATTTACTGGCAGAATTGAGGTATTGTGGCTACGCCTGCTTATGTAGGGCTATTTGTTATAACAGTGTGAAGCTTCACTAAATGTGTGTACGGCGAGAATGAGTTTCCTTGTAATATTTGTGAGTGCTATAGTTAATGGACAATTACTATTTGATAAAAATAATTTTATACTATTACACTGGTAGTGGTTTCGGTAGAAAATATTGAGGGAAAAAATTGCTACGCATCTGAACGTGTTTTAATAACAATTATTATTTATCCAACTTAATTTTTTATCTAAACATTTTAGTTCACATGAAGAGAACTATAAAAATAATATTGGTTCATCTTTCTTTTAAATATACACAACAGGAAAAAAGTCTGCTCATTTGCCGCCGTATCACACATGAATATGTACATATTTATGAGTAAACCGCAAATAAAATATTAGAACCTTTTGTTTTCATGTCTTACACGAATAATCTTTACTATTAAGAATAGAACAAAAAGTAAATTCAAAATAAATACCTAACAAATCTATTCCCCAAAGCACACCCATTCTAATTCTAATTACCTCAAAACCGTCAACACTAGGAGATAATAAAAGATTAAAGTCTAGAATGAAGATGTTAGGCTGCGAGCACACCGAGCCAACTGTATCAGGAGCGTGCAAGTGATTTATGCACTGTGAACAGAGAGCGGCTCGATAAGACCCGACGTGCAAGCCACCGACGTAATTTAAGCTCGTGTGGATCCAGCTTTGCGATATTCGTCAGTCGAATTTATAGCGTATGTGAGAAATTGGTACGCCATTTTATGCGTTTTACCAAACTTACTTTTTTTCAGTGTTTAATTAAATTTTTGGGTTCTTTACACGCGGAAGGTTTGAGCATCTATCACCATGACGGATAATCGATTTTAAACTTATAATCATAAGTTATACGTTCAGGTTTCCTCACGACTTCTTCCTCCGCCATTTGTGAAGGCTGTCTAAATATATTAGAACGTTATAACGTATGTGTAACATCTGAGTCACCACTATTTTTTTATGGTCCATTTATCAAATACTGTTCTAGAGATTTCGAGAATTTAGCTGTTTTTTATCTTTTTTTAAAAGTGATCCCATACTACGTTATTATCTTGAATCATAGTTCCTTTATAAGAATGTATAATAATATTGACACAGTCACTAGATTTAGACCAGGAACAATTATTTGTGGATCTGGAGTGATATCTCTAGGAGTCAATTATCCTTAGCTGAATCAAACTCGCGATTAGTCTGTTGAGTTGGTCGCCAAGCCATCCAATCCCAATTGTGCTGTAAATTTTATATTCTTTAAAAGTTTATTGCAGCGATTTAATTAAGTTTTCGTTCACTGTTTTGCTTTCATCTTGAGTCTTTATTTTTATGTGTCAATTGATTCCTGTGTTTGATGACGTGCTATGTTTCGAGTGGTTTCGAGCGTGGAAAATCTCAAGAAATGCTTCTTAAAATTTTTACGTTATGAATATTTATTCTATAATCTGAGTGGAATGTTTAGTTAAGCAGAAATAGACTTTAAAACCATCATATTTTACGTAATAAACAAAGTGTGTAAGTTATGTTTAACTGCGTTACATTCCCTTGTATCAAAATCAATAGCAGGTCCAAACCGCAAGTGCAGTCACAAAATTACTAGATTAGAAATAACCGTTTTTTACAATAGTCTGACTTCTGGTCTGTTTTGTTCTCAGTTCAGTTCTCAGTGCAATCAGATAGTAAATGCCGGTTTTATCTAGATTTTTTCATATAGTTGACATGTAAAAGTGCTGTTTTATGGCATATTTGTAAATTCATTGCATATTTGTAAATTCTTTGCTTCATTGTTCCGTTCCAGTGCAGTGAAGGCTAAACACACCATAATGATAAAATCAAAAAATACTACAAAACTATTTAAAACCAAGAACAAAACACATCAGTTACAAAAAAGGTAAGTACCGCTACCACCAAGTACAATGCTAAATTCATAGACGTATAATGTTTGCAGTTGGAATTTTAGCTGTCTACGTCAACATTTCTGAGAGTGGACTGGACAGACGTACGCTTATGACAGAAACAGACTCTTAGCGCATTGTTTCAACTAAAAAACAAATGTGAGGTAAGTTTTTGAATTTCGAAATTAAAGAATTTTAAATGGAACTTCTGTTTATAATATTTTTTTTCAAAAAGTAAATAGTAAGTTACTAGTAAAATTTTATTTAGTTTGGTTTTAGTGTTCATTATATTTTTTGTTCATAATGTATTTCAGCTGTGTGCCCCATTGGTTAAAACGCTTAGTTCTCGTGCTGTTGGGCACGGATTCGAAGCTGGTAAGTACTAAAGTGTGTTTTTCGCGTTATATGTATTTTCTAAGATGATTAACACACAATCGACTAATGGAGAAGGAAAATACTGGAACCTGGAATTATAATTTTTAATTTTTGTTAAATATCGAATCCGCCTTGAGCAAACGCAGTGATAAATGCTTAAAACTTAGTTTATTTATAAATGACACGACTTTATAAGGATAAAGATAGAGATAGTTTATTTGCAAATATGAGTAATACAATACATGTGGTTTTGAGTTAGGTACTTTGTGAGCTCAGCCTCCTATAAGTAAATAGAAAAAAGAGTTCGTTGTTTTTTTTATAAATTTTAACTACTTTTACGTAGGTTTTTGCTTCAGTGTTAAATAACAGAACTATTTTCATCAATTTACATCAAGGGATTTTTTGCAACGGTCTTATAGGACTTTAAAATGAATATTTTCTGAATAAGAGGATATCATGTGAAACGTGAGAGACGCGAGCTCATGTCAAAGATGGCTAGCGTTTTTATAACACCCATTTTTTGTAATATGTGTTACATATGTGCAGATATTGATTTTTTATTTAATATTTCTTTATAAAAATGTTACCCCACACTACGATTTGACCCTGATGCCTTAATAAATTAATATACACATCATACTCAGTCCTAAGAAAACAAGATGTGTCTTGGAAAATGGATATTCCGCACAAGAATCCTATTTGCGACACATTGCGCAGTAGCCAGGACTCCAGCTACTAGGCTAACCGTGCAGAGCTACTAATAAAGCACTTTGTCATTAAACTAAAAAATAAATAATAAAAAATCAACTCGATGATTCTCACACTTGCACCACACCCACATCTGTATTGAATATGCAACAGAGAGTACAAAGTATCACGCAGACAATAGCCGCCGCCAGTGTGACCACGTCTCACTCGTCACCATGTTTGTTGTTTTATATTTATTTTAGCTAGGTACCATCACTGCACTGACACTAACGACTAAAGAGTTTTATGTTTATTTTGAAGATTTCGGTTTTCATTATCGGTTTTAGGTGTGGGAGAGCCATGCTTCGGCACGAATGGCTCGGCTCAACCGCAGTGCCACACACGGCCCCTTAAGTTGACTTGAGGCCCAGTCCTTCCCCTCCCCCAATCCGACCCCCAATCCCTAAATCTCCAAATCCCTAATCCCCAAAAGCTCGGTAACGTACTCATAACTCCTATTGTTGCGGCTCCTGCTGTTACGGGTGTCCATGGGCGGCGCTGGTTGCTTGCCATTAGGCAATCTGTGCGCTCGTTTGCCGACCTATCACGGCGGCGGCAACCTCTCGCGCCCGGCCTTAGTCGAGGCTATGGTGCGGAGCGAGAGGAACTGGGAAGCTGTCTCCTCCTTCTGTAAAGCAGTTATGCTCGCAAAGAGGGAGGAGGCCCGCGTGAGGGAGCAATCCTCCTCATCACGCCCCAGCCGCCGCAACAGGCGACACTACGGGCGTCGGGGATCAAGGGACGATCTTCGGCCACCGAAAGCGCGGGTCTGCGGTCGAGTAAGGGTAACTCGCTTTCGGACCAGAACCAGACCCGAGCGTACGGCACGTAGCGTTTCGCGCGCGCCTCAAAGAGCCAATAGACCACCACAGACGGGGCTCTATAGAGCTGATGTTCAGCCGGGGTTGCGGGATAAGCGCAATGAGGCACCTTGACCTCGGCCCAGAGCAGGAGAAGGAATAGGGTAAGAGTCTGACACTCCCTCCCGCCCTGGGCAGGAGAAGTCATTAATTGATGATTTTCCCCTCACAAATAAAAACCCAATCCTTCCCCTCTCCGCATCCCTGCCCAATCCCTAAATCTCCCGAATCGTAATCCCAAATAGTTAGTCCCAAGTATTTAGTAGTAGTAGTCCAACGTACTTGTAACACCTCACACCATCTCTGGTGTTGCGGGTATCTGCTCTGCTTACTATCGGGTAATCCATCAGCTATTTTGCAAACCTGTCCCAAAAAATATCTAGTTTCTTCTGATTCCTTCCAATGTCTGTGTATGTGTATATGAAAGAATTTTGAACTTCTTAATTTTTTATTTCAAAAGGTCTTCAAAACAATCAAAAACGAAGTTCTTTTTTATAACTAAAAAAACCGAATCACACAGCAAAATGATAATTAAAAAAATACAGTAAATCCGTCCCACTGACGTCGGCAGTTCTTGCGAACATATTTTTTGCAAAATGAAATTCAGTTTCAATTATTCTCAACCAGCCATAAATTGAAGATCTCTCGGCATATTGACGTTTTTGTTCGCAATTTTTATTTGGCATCGAAAAAGGTATCGTTCTGCAGAGGTACGTAAAAGTAATAACTTTTTGAAATGATTTGCTAGAATCAGTACTATTTACCTGTACTATGTTGATAGCTATATGTATGTTTCAGGAAAACTTTCATACATAACCATATGGAGAAATTGTTTATGTAAATTTTTCAAACTGTGGTTCTACTCTTGAGAGGTATAAAAATCACCTTTTCAAAGGAATATGCCCCTTTATAAGGTTATAAACGTCTCGCCCGGCACGCACGGATGCGATGCTGATACTAAATTTCTCCACTATTTAATGGATGTTATTATACACATAATACCTCCCTCTTCAACCAATATCTATGAAAAAAACCGCATCGTAAACAGTTGCGTCACAGGGATATAGGGACAGAGAAAGCGACTTTGTTTTAAACTATTTTTTTTTTTTTGTGAGGGGAAAATCATCAAATGACTTCTCCCGCCCAGGGCCGGGCAGGAGGGAGTGTCAGACTCTTACTGACTAAAAACCCCCCTGTTCCTTCTCTTGCTCTGTGCCGAGGTCGCGGTACCTCATTGCGCTTACCCCGCAACCCCGGTTTGTTTTAAACTATGCCGTGATTTGAATACCATTTTGACTCTACTGATATACGTTGAAGGTAAACATAGTGTGGAAACTTGGACTTTAACTTCTAAATATAAGTTAAAAATTGTTGATCCATCATGGTGATTTAATCCTTATCCTCTGACTGTGTGAGAAGACGCTCTTATAAGCTGGTGATGTGATGTGATAAAATATCACATGTTACGTAGGAATATTCGCTCAAGAGTTGAACATGAGTTGTCCTGGTTGCTCAGTAAAGAATTTGCTTAGTTACATATATTTAACAATTTCGTTGTATTAGGTAGTATTTTCATCATTATTTTTTGATTGTCTTTTATTACGACGATAGACAATAATTTTTTTTTCTCTTTTTATGTAATAGATCGGCAAACTAGCAGACGGATTACCTGATGGTAAGTAATCAGCGCCGCCCATGGACACCCGCAACGGAGGATTTACGAGTGCGTTGCCGACCTTTTAGGGATTAGGGATTTGGAGATTTAGGGATTGAGGAGGGATTGGGGGTGGAGAAGGATTGGACCTCCGGTAACTTCACTCACACAGCGAAACACAACGGTGTGGTTATTTCACGCCGGTTTTCTGTGAGGCCGTGGTATCACTCCGGTCGAGCCGACCCATTCGTGCCGAAGCATGGCTCTCACACACTAATATTGCTGTTATACCTAAAACTAACTACAAAACTAATAAAATTAACATTAAATGCATGAGTTCATAAATTGAGTATTCAAACAAGTTTATATTATTCATTTAAAGTTTTACTAGCCTAATCTTTAAAATTATATAGTTAATTCTATTCAAATCAGACTCCGAATTTAATGCAAATACAACGTTTAAATTAAAAGTAAAGTTATGAATACAAATTAAAATGTTTGGATTTTTGGTTTAACCACTCGAAGCAATTTGCGGGTGGAACAAATTTACGTGACAGATGTCGACGGAATTGTTTATTATGAACAGAAATAAAATAAAACAGATTTAAAGTTACAATACTTTTATTGATGATTTTTATAAAATAAAGATGATTGATGATCAATGATCAGGTCTTAGAAAGGATGATAGGAAAACAAGACAATTTCGTGCCATGCGTTTCAATTTTAGTTTTTTTTTTAAATGAACGTTGCCCCACACTAAGATTTTCTCCTGACTCGTTTCCAAAATGTTCCATATGCATTACAACAATTTGTATATCACACGAAGAGTTGTTCCCTTCGGGAATCAAAAATGCGAAACGTTGTGCGGCAGCCTGTTGCCCAGCCACCGCGCCTACCGTGCAGTGAAAATGGCAAAAAGTAGGATAACAAAATGAAATCTATGTTTTACTTTTAACAAACCCTGGACTACATAATTTTATGTACTAAGTTTAAAGGCCGGCAATGCACTTGTCACTCCTCTGGTGCTGCGGGTGTGGTGGTCCATGGGCGCGCCGATCGCTTACCATCAGGCGATCCTTCTGCTCGTATGCCTCCTATTCCACAAAAAAAAACTAAGTTTTTTATCATATAAATATATACAAAGATCCAATGTCTCTTTAAAATACCAGACGTTAATTAACCAGTATCAAAATGAAAACGATGCATCGTAAGCAAAATAAACAGAATAATAATGAATGTCCAACTCCAGACCGCGGTCCAAATTGAATTTTACTTATTTCTGTATAAATAAATAAAAGAAAGATCTGTCAGAACATTTCAACAGTTATTTGCAGGACACATACATATTATAATATGTTTATTTATATTATTTTGATTATACTTATATACTAGTGGTTTTATCGATAATCGTAGAAGTTCTAGATTCTGCTAGCTTGATTTTTATTCCCGTACTTAGAGTCGATTTATTGTTACTTTGCATTTATTTATCATATTTACTATATGCAATGTGATGATGATGATGAATATAATGATACAATTAATGTAAGTTAATTTTATTATTTTGTAATTTGCTGTGCCCGACAGGGTCCATAATGATCTTAATACTGATACACATATAATAACACCTAATGTAACATTATGGAATGCAATAAACATTTGAATTTGAATTTGAATTTGAATTAGGATTATCAACCTAAATTGCTACGGAAAACCACAAAACTTACATATGCTATCATAAATCTTTCTCAAAATCGAAGTTGTATAAAATGAGGTTTTACAAAATAATCTAAACGTTAAAATCGCAAACCATTATAAAAAATAATATAAACGGTCCCTGCATAAACTAGAACATTATTTCGGTAGTTCGTTCGCCAAAGTGTTGTTGGCGCGTTGAGTACATATAACTCGGAAAATCTCACATTAGTACTGGCCAGGTTTCGAATCCGCACCCTCAACTTCAACACCGTACAACTTTTTATTCAAAAATCTGCAAGTTGTTACAAGTTCTACAATAAGATAATATAATAGACATATCATATCTAAAATTAATATGGGAAAATGACGTAATATGTCGGAGGTAGATTATGTAATTATAGGTCGCATTACAATGGTCACATGAGTGCACATAATCCCCACAATGTAAGCCGAGCTTAAACCTGACACAATATTATGGAGCTGATTATTGAGTTCACCTGTTTGTAGTACACGTTTTAAGTTAGTGCTTATTAGTCTGTTAGTGCTGGGTAATCTTTATATAAGAGCGTAAGTCGGTCAGTTTTTGTATTGCAATTTAGGTAGAAAATATTTACTTATAGCCAGTTTTTTAAGTTTCTCGAATAAGCGAAATGCCTGTGAGAAGCTTATTTTATCGCACACAAACGGGTATTTTAAAACTAGGCAAATTAAAACAAACATTCTTTAATGTTATTTTAAGTACTTTTCCGAATTGTCGATATCGAGCGACAGTATGATTTTCTATGCCAAATAGCGTATTTAATTCTTAAAATATAAAAAAAAACTTATAGAATCAAAGATATTGATATTTTTTGCAATTTTATTCCATTAAAAAGAGAAATACTTTTGTAATTAAATCAAGTACCATAATGATAATAATATCCCAAATTCTAAACATTTAGGTTAACTTACACCCGGAACTGCAACTCTTTTTTAATTTGTACTAGAATTTCAAATGACTATCACGAGCCGTCTTCACTAACGATAAATAAAATAATTAATCATAACAATCCCATAATTGAGGTAAAAACAATAGAGGTTTTATCAGACTTTACTTATCGTGGCCACAATAGTGCAAAAACTACCTCTCACACGGGATTAATAAATGCCAGCAAAAAAAAAAGTTTTATGAAAGAAAGAACACACACAATCGATCCGACCTACACAGTAATACCACAAATGACACCAGTCTGAATGCATTTAATCTTCGGAACCGCAACGAGGCGCAATATCGTCATGATGAGCAGCACACAATGGACCCTCAATCTCCAGTGGATATTAAGTTTCCGTTAGTACTACAATGAAATGCCTAGGGTGCCTAGAATAGGCTCAACGTGTATGAATTAGTTCGGTCTATTCATGTCAGTATTATTCATTGTTATCTACGTGTAACTGTTCCGTTCTAGAGAAACGCGTGCAATCTTGATCCGAGATTGGGAGCATTCTGGTTTGGAAGCGGTTCTGGGTTTGTATAAGGGTAAAAGGTAATCTTATGTTTGTCTTTGCAAACTACTTTAAAAGGATTTTATTCAGTTTTGTCGACATTTCTCTCAGTGCTTGAAAAATATAATGTGCGATTTTTGATAAAGAAAAGCCTAATGAGTCAACAATTGTGTCGTAACTTGGTCAATAATTTAATATCTTATCTTTCTTTAGAAAAACGTTGCTCCAGACTAAGATTTTCATCTGTATTGTGGAACAATAATTTATGGATCACACAAAGAATGGTTCCGTTCGAGAATCAAACCCGCGACACGTTGCGTGGCATCCAGTTGCCCAGTCAACTCACCAACCGTGCAATCAAAAATCATTTAGTATTAGTGCCATCAACATACTTATCAACAACTTAACTTCTGAATCAACCGATAAAAATACTTGACAAACTATTTCTTAAAGGACATGAAATATCCGCCTTGTGAAAGATTTTCTATAAGAAATTTATTTATGTTCCAGAAATAAGGAATCGTACATCCTGCTTGGTGGCACGTGGGAACAGGAGATGAATTCTTACTACACATTATATTACTGCAAATATTTACAGGACATGTCTTTTTATGGGATCAGGACCAAAGTCCTAATATCATCTGATGCCTCGTTCATGATTGCGTTATTTTAAATACTGACAAAGAAGAATAATGGTTTGGTTTTTGGTCCAAAGTTCTTTCGGCAAACGAGTATACGGATTTGCTACTGGTAAGCAATCGCCCATGGACACCCACAGAACTAGAGCAGTTACGAGTTCGTTGCTAGTCTTTAGAGATTAGGGATTTTGGCATAGAGTAGAAGGGTTGGGTATACTTCGAAAATATTGCTTCTTAAAACTTGACATATCCAGCAATGTAATTAATATTTTTTTATGAAATTATCAAGCTTTTAACGAGAACTTCAAGAAGTCCGAAGTTGTTTTGTTTGAAATTCTCAAAAATATTTCAGTTTAACGTTTTTTCATTCAAAAAGACGGTATTCGTTAACAATTTTTATAAAAAGAGAAAAGATTGCTTGCTTACCATTACGTAACCCGTCTGCTAGTTTGCCTACAGATACCTTAAAAAAAATTGTATCGGCACTGCACTCATCCGAAGTCGGGTCGGTTCGCTAGTATAACACAATTGAAGAAAAATATAATTTTATTCTATTAATTAATGTTAGAGAGGGTTGCTAGAGAGCGCAAATGTTTAAATATTGCCCTTAAACAAAAAAGGTAACAGATTTAAATGCAAAAGGTCCATAAATATTTGGCTTAAGTAAGCAAAGTTAACACTACCATATCTTCTGAAGCAAGCAAGTTCATAATGTGAGAACATAGTAATTTAATGTCAAATTTTCATAAAATATTCGATCTAGATTTTTTGCAATCAATCATGTTTTTATAAAATAAGGTTAGAATGTGTGAATTACGAACA